CTCTCTCTCTCTCTCTCTCTCTCTCTCTCTCTCTCTCTCTCTCTCTCTCTCTCTCTCTCTCTCCTTTTTCTCGTCTTCGTTGCGAAAGCACGATTGACCTCCACGTCTCTGACGGGAGCGCGTTTCTGCGCGCACGCTTTTCGACGCACCGTCGCCTCCCGTGGCTTTTAACTCGCGATAAATTGGCAAGCTGGTGAGAGAAATGTTTTTGTTTTTTTCAATTTAAAAATTAAGCAGTCGTTGCTTGTGTTTAAAAAACGCGCGGAAGGCTACGGAAGAATTTAACCCTTTCACGACCACTGGCACGTACAAAAATCCCTACAAACTCAATACTTTTTGCTCGCCAGTAATAAAATGGCCAAAACGTCAATTTTCCCTCGACGCAACTGGCATTATTTTATTAATCTTAAAAAATATACTGGTAAGAATATTCTTTAAAGTCGCCATGCAGCGGTAATTAACAGCACCGGTGACTTTTATCGGTCGTATATCTGGCAATTTTAAATATTACCTCAGCCAGGGTTTGAACCTGGACCTCCCCTCTCTCTAGGCGGGCGTCTCAACCAATTCGACCACCGAGGCATATTAAATAATACACAACGTTTCGACCGCACAGATTGCGGTCCTCTTCAAGCACGAATCTGTGAAGTAAAAAAATCCCTACATTTCTTGCGTCTCTCGGCGCCTCTCGTTAGCGCCTGGCTAAAACAAAATAATAGCGACAACAAACGAAAAGTAATTCAGTCGCGGAGGGTCGGGTTGGGTTTCGGTCGAGGGTGAAAATTCGCGGAGATCCGAGGGTTGCGCGGCCGGACGGGGGTGGAGGCCGTCGCCGGTCCAGCTGAGCGCAGAGCGCGGGCAGCCTCGTCGGAGGAGAGGAGCGAGACGAGTCCTCGCGGACTTCCCCTGTGACGAGGTGACATTGCGCAAAACGGCGCATTCTCGACGGCGCGGGAGAGAGAGAGAGAGAGAGACATTGCCAGCCGCCGCCGTCTTAAAGTCCGCCCGTCGACGTTCGCGACTACTAACGCGTTAGGCACATTCCTCCGCGAACGCGTGCCGTCCCACTTTACGCTTCTCCTTTCCTCGTTTCGCCTTCCCGCCGCGGTTGTTCAACCCCGCCCGCCGTCGATCCGCGCCCGTGCCGTCGAGTCTCGTCGCTCCGGTTCACCCTCTTCCGGCCACCGGGACGTACGCAAGTCCCGCTTGCAAAATTCAAACACCACTCGCAGCATTTGAAAATTACATTAAAAACCCAGAGTTAAGAACTCGGCGTTCGCTGGAGGAACATTACGTCAAACGAAAGTGTAAAACTAACGAGGAGTAGTCTTCAATGTCGTCAGTAATAATTAAAAGCTTCAATGACAACTTGACCATTGCCAGACGGCAATTTTTATGTTCACAACTCACGTTTCGGTCATGGCTTGTGGTCCTTTCCAAGCGATCTAACGGTACAAATATAGAGAGAAATATTTTAAAACGAATAATACATAAATAAGTTAGAAATAACAGTCAGAGGTATTGAGATTGCGAGAGCGGTAATATGAGAGCGAATTGCATCGGTAAAAACCGCTGTCATGGATTTATGGAGCCAATGTATTAACGTGGGAGAGAATTGCGTCAGTGAAAGACGTTACCATGGTCATGTCGTGATCGTGTATTAACTTGGAGATTTTTATGGACTACGTTACTGGAGATAAACATCGAGTAACCGAGTAGCACACGAGAGGAACAAAGAAAGGCAGAGATATATATGATGAAATAGTGATCAACTTACATTGTATCAAATGTTCAGTGTAATAAATTAAAGGAATCGAGCTTAGGTTCACGAGAGGCGGAACGTGACTGAAGAGTTTCGAGAAATCTTTGGGAAGGGGAGTCGTTAAAAACGAACGAAAGTCAAGGTGCAAACAAATATGTTTAACTGGGACTTCTGTTAGCTCTATGAGAGGAATATCTAAAAGTGTAAAACTTCTCCCCCCCCCCCTCCGGGAAAAAGGGGTTTCGGGGATGAATGAATCCGAAAACCAGATTTAAGGATTCGGGATTCGCTGGAGGAACACATTGCGCCAAACAAAAATGTAAAAACTCCCCCCGGGAAAGAAAACAATTGTGTCGCAAAGGGTTTTCGGGGACGAATGAATCCGAAAACCAAGGACTCGGCATTCGCTGGAGAAACACATTGCGTCAAACAAAAGTGTAAAAACTCCCCCCCCCCGGGAAAGGAAATAATTGTGTCGTAAAGGGTTTTCGGGGACGAATGAATCCGGCGCAATCGAACATTCCGCGAGCTTGCTTCGAAACATACATACGATCGCTGATTAACGCGATAATACTATCGCGAGACTATCGCAAAGATATCGCCTTGATTGCAACAAGCGTAGGGGATTCGTTTTCGGAACTCGTTGTCCCGAGCCACCGCACGGCACTCGCGGACGAGTCGAGGAACCCGAGTGCATCGCACCGAGGGGATTCGATCGGGTCGCTACACGCCGGGTTAAACGGGAGTTTCATAGTCGATCGCCTCGCGCACCTCGCAAAGCCCGTGGAGCGGAGAATGTCGGTCACGTTGGTATTTTTGGAACGATCGGCGTTTTTTATGATTCGCCGTCGAGTTTGCGGCGCGTTTTCGATCGCCTCGCTTTCTACGCGATCGCGACGATAATGTCCGCCGTTCGTATCTAATCTCTCGCGTCCACGGCACGAGTTTCCGCACGACGGCCGCCGGACAATGACCACTTTAATGACGACGATTATCAATGACAATCCTCCCCGTTCCTTTAACGCGGCTTATTCGCGATGCGCTTGCGGACACGGGGTGCAACGTTTGACAGCGTAACGCAAATTTGTTTGCTACATGTTTTTTTCTTGAATTAGGCTCGAGCCTATTTTGCGAGATAAGCTCTGAAGGCCTGTGTCCACGATGCTGGAACTTGGTCCAAGTTCTAGTTTCGAGAAATGTATAGCCAATCAACTTGCAGCTTTTCCGTAAGAGATGCAAGTTGATTGGCTACACATTTTTCAAAACTAGAACTTTGATACAATTCTTGGATCGTGGACACAAGGCTTTAAGGCTGAATCAGACTAGCAATTGCTGTCTCGAATTGGATTCGGATTGGCGATTGATAATTGTCCCCTAGCCAATGAGAGCCGATTAAATCGCTGGCTGCTTTGCTCTCATTGGCTAAAGGACAATCGTCAATTCAAATTCAATCCGAGTCAACCATTGCTAATCTGATTCGGTCTTATCGAGGCTTATTGTTAGTTAGGTTGCCTCTTGTGAGCAGTCATTTTTGTTTTACCATGCGTAAGTTGCTAATCTTTAATATTTAACGTTCGCAAATATACAGTCTCTAAAAGTCAATCATAGATTATCAGTGAAAACAGTGAATACTCACTGATTCACAGTTACAAGTATACCACTGCGATTTTCATACTGACTATTTTCTGTGATGATTCGCTGATTGACTTTTAGAGAGCATGTGTGTCATCTGGCTCGGAAATTTGCATTACGCTGGGTAAAATCCATATCTAATCGAGGAACGAATCAATTAGGTACCGGGGACTGAAGCGATGTCAAAGAAGACAAGCTGCAAGATGTTGGTCCATCAAGTGTCGGCCGTGTTGCCAGATGACAGACCAATAACTGCTATTAGTGTTGTGGAAGACTTGGACAAATGTCCACCCAACTTCACAGTGGTACGGCGTTAATGTTAATTCAGTTTGCTCATTCGATGTCCCTCTCGTCGCGACGGTGGTAATAATCGGTATGCGTCTCGTTAAGGTATCGAGAACTTACGATCAGGACACCGACGCCGATCTGTGGCGGGAGAGCGGACTGTTCATCAAGAAGAAGGGTAGATATATCTGCTTCTCCAAGACTGAGGGCCAGCCTGACTGCGTGGTCGAGGATATCGTGGTGATTAACGAGCGGGACACTCCGCCGGAAGGGTACAGCATGATCTCCTACACCGTGGATTCGAGTGAGCATCTCCGTTCGACTTGGCGGACGTCTGCCGTCCGCGGGTGAAACGGGTCTGCAAATCTCTACAAGTAAATCGCGGTGAACGTTGCAGGGCAGAAGGCGTGGCGCAAGAAACAGGTGTGCTACAAAATTAGGAGTAAGGACCTGTGCGCGAAAGCGGTCACGGATATAATAATCTGCAGCAGGATAATCCACAAGGACTCCAAGCTGGCCCCCATCGGGTTTTCCGCCGCTGGGTACGCAACGCTTAACTTCGCTCGCGACGCTCTTAATTAGATTGGCTTTGTGTAATCCTCTATTTATTTTTATGGTAGCGCAATCGAAGGTAAACCCGACAACAAACACTGCGCGATAATTTGCAAGATATCAATGTAGACACAGAGCTGATTGCCTATCGGAAACGTGTAGGCTGCGAAAAGTTAATGCGACATTTCGATCGCGATATCCTGTATCTTATCTTCTTTTTTTTGCAGAATCATAAACGGCGTACGTGTGTGCTACAAGACGGTCGATATCACAAATGCGAATTCGGATTCGCGGTCGTACGTTAATATAGAGTAAGTTTCGGCGCGTCGAACAAAGGGGTATCGACTTTACACTGCAAATAGATTTTATGGTTCTTCCAGCTTACTGGAAAACCCTTCTCCGAATCCGTCGAATGGAACCTTTCACAGGCCAGTCCCCGAGAGGCCCCCGAAACCAAAGTTCTCACCAAAACCACCGACCAACGGGATTTATCCGCAAATCGCGGCTAACAAGGACGACGAGCTCGGCGATCGAGATTACGAGGTCTTGAGTCCTAACGCGAGGATCAGGCCCACGAGGCCCGCGCCCCAGCCGCCCATGTCTACGCCATCGGCCGTCACATCCACGCCCATTTACGGTACACTTCCAGGATCGTCCGATCTCGACGGAGTTCCGTTCGTGCTTAATCCTCGTCTTACTACTAATCACCTTGATTCTGCCAATGTAAGTATAGTAATTTAGCGCTTACATGAAACAAAGTGCGATTAACACACATTATTGTTTACAACCTAACGATATCTTTCTCGTCTCGATAGAACAAACTTCCTGTTATCAAAGTGTGGACGCAAAAGGACTTGGATAGAGAGGTACGTCTATATCTTCTTCTTTTTTATTTTTTTTGTTAAATAATTGACACGAAATGTTCTGTTGCAGTTCTTTTATGACTTTCGTGCGGAAAGAGAAACTTGAAAGACGACGGCGTGCCAAAACTAATTCGAGTTCCCGAGCGATCTCTTTCCGCCGTGTTCGTACGCGTTCGTAACCGATATAATGCTAGCCAACAAGCGTAAATGGAGTGCCTGAACGAGTGATTTATACTAACCCGCGAGAGAATGAAGCCTGCATGACGCTTAAAATGGGGATTGTGTAATGTTCAAGAAGGAATAAGATAAAAGAACTAATTCGATACGTACGCGTTTCTTCTTCCACGCCCCCATATTTACATTTTGATACTGGTGATAACGTTGTCATATTTTTATAGACTTGCGTTATATTTTGATAGATAGTAGAGATTGTATATATAAAATATATGTACACACGATTGTATTATAATACGAGATCTTCTGCGCAACTTCATATCGCATATCTACGCTTTTAAACACGCATACCGCTGTTGAGCGTGGCATCGCGTTCTCGCTGCACATTTAGCGCTTGACGCGGCGATTCAAATGCGTGGCGAGAGTGCATGCCGCAAAGAGCCATTTAATTCTTTTGCTCTTCCCACCTTCTTATTTTTTTTTCGAAACGATGATTCTTTGCGATGTAAAGACTCGAATGTTTATCTCGTAAGTTTTCTTCAAAGTGCTGCTTGCCTTTCTTTACCTGCAATAAAGTATTATTACAATATCTTTTTTGTTTATATATACTCACGTTTCGTGATCTGTAATTCTGTTTAAAAGTATGTATATAACGTGTACCGAGAAAAAGCCCTAAATTTTTTTTTCGATATCGACTCAACACGACGTTTAATCTTTCAATTGAGTTTTTCGTTCTATTCGTCGGTAAATTCGTACCTTACGTAAATTTCTATTCGATCGCACACGCGTACGTGAATGTAATTTAAGATAGAAACTTGTATGTTAAACAATAATTTAATAAAAGACGGTCGAACTATCAATACATATCCTATCATTTATTAAATGGCTAAGGTAATGAAAGATAGTAAAATTCTTTCAATAATGCTTTATAAATTAATATATACCAAAGGTTGAGACAAGTTATATTTTTTACATGTGTACCATATAAAGACTAATAAATAACAGCTTCACAGCAGAAAAAGTTAGATCAACATTTTATAAACATCTCACCGCGAGGAAGGATTAAATAAATTAACCACTGGAAGTACAACTTCAAAATCTAGCGACTCAATGTATCTTTTATAGACAATATGAAAAATATTGTAATCACAAGAGCAGAAGATTTATATGTGTATATATATATGTGTTAATTACTCACACGCATTAGTTCATAGCGAAGAAAACAAGGCTTTTGTCTGTTCCTACCTTCATTTTACATATAAGAATTCCCTGTTCCTCGATCAATACTGTATAAAATTCCACTTGCACTTTCAGAGTGACAGTCACTCACTGTGTACGAAAACAGCGACTAAAGATGTTCAATTAATCATCGAATTAAAGGATCAAAATCTTTTGTAGTTCGCCTTTATCGGTGAGTTGTCAGCCGACACAGCGGAGCGGAAGAAATTTTTAGTTGGCAGAAAACTGGCCAATCGTCAGACAAATGGTCCAGTCCAGTGCCGGACGTGCGTCGTCATCGTATTGCCAGCTGGAGTCGTCTGTACTCCGTGCCTCTCCATCACCGCCGTGGCCTTGATCCTGCTCTTGTACTTGACGTCCTTCGGCTTCAGCATGCTCTTGTGATTGCTCAGCAATCTCGAGGGCGTGAGGATCGACTTGTTGCTGAGGCCGGTCGCCTCCAGAAAGTGATCGTACCCGCTGCTTCCGATCTCACCGTTGCTGCTGCTGCTGTTACCGGTGCCGTTGCCGACAGCAGGAACATTGTTGTTGTCTTTGGCAATGCTGTTCTCGTTCTGGCCGGCGTTGTTGAGCCCCGCGTGACCAAGTCTCTCGGACCCGTCACCCTCGGGTCGATCGGGATCATCCGACAGATCGCACTCGTCCAGATTAAACTCCTCGAAGTTCTGTCGAATATCAAACTCCTACGGTGAGAGAGAAAAGTAATGTTTTAAATTATACAATTTTTTGCTGCAATATTCTATTCTCGATGAAAGATCTTACGTGTTCGAGTTCGACGTGGCGGTCCTTCGGGCGGTTTCTGTCCTTCGTTTGCTCCTCGGGGTCGCCGATCTTGAACTCTTCGAAATGCCGGACGATGTTCGTCACTTTGACCGCACCCTTCGCCTGATCCGACTCCTTTTGCCTTACCTGGAAGGACGAGCGCACATGGTTGAATCTGTTCTTCCAGAATCCACCCTCTTCGCGGCCTTTCGTTTCTCTCGCCGAGCTCCTGGCCGAACTCTTCGCTTCCTCCAGATTTAGACTCCTCGCTGCTTTTGATGACGAAGAGGATACCAGTCCCAGAATGCCTCTTTTTATAGGATCCGCGCCCCCTGGGTCTTGTTGCCTTTTTTCATCAATCAGAAACGATGGACTAGGTATTTTCTTCAGAATCAGCGTGTTGTTGCGAAACTGTGGCTTCGGCGGCAACGCCGGTGGCGTTCTGGGCGGCGTCGGCGACGTCGCCGTTATTTCCGGCAGCGACTCTATATCTTCGTAGTCCAGATTCTTGGCGATAGTTAATCCCCTCGCGGACATCTGCAGGCAGGCCTTCTCCTCGATTCTCTCCATCTTTAAAGGGGGATTGCTCACTTGGGATTTCGTCAGGATCTTTCTCGTCTCCTCGACATCGATCTTGGGCTCGATAATGACTAGCGGGATCGCCTTGGAGTCCTTGGAACTATCGTCGTCCGACTCCTTTTGGACAATCCTCATGCCAAACTCGTCCTCGGACGCGTTCTCGTTCGCCTCGTTCTCCGCGGTCTCCTCCTCCCTCGATGAATCCTTATTGTCCGCGACGGACTCCTCGGAGTTCTTCCTCTCCATCTCCGAACCCACCGATTCGATGTCGGACAGCCTGGCCGGCTGAAAACGCACGATTCTGCCGCGATGTTTGAACCGGCGCGGCATTAACAGCATCGAGTTCTCCTCCTCCTCCATGTCCTGCAGCAGGATCTGATTTACGCACTCTAACACGGAATTGTGGTTGCTATTTGGCCGATAGGTGCTGTGCCTGAATACGTCATCGTTCAGCCGATCCTCATCCGGATCGCTATACCAATTTCCACTGGTGTCCTCCACCGTCAACTCAGGCGTCTCGATCTTCGTCTCGCTGCAAGAAAAGAAATCACGCTTTTAGAGAATAAACGAATGTAACGGAGAAGGGAGAAAAAATCGAATTATCTAACGAAAATTCTGACGGAAAAAGAATTATGACGTACATATTATTATTATTGCTATAATCATCTTTCGTCCTCGACTGCTCCGTCCGCTGCAGATTCTTCTCGTTCACTTCGTTGCAGGCGTTAATGTAAATCGGCTCCTCCTTCCCTCCCTCTTGATTATTTATCCTCGTGTTAGTCTGTTCCTCGTCCTCCGAGGCAAAGTTGCAGTCCATCCCGTCGTCCTTGCTCTCCGTCCTCGCGATACCGACCGCCTCGATTACGTCGGGGCTCTTGGACGACGTTTTCTGGCCCTTCGTCCTCCTCTTCGTCGCCACTGTCGTCGTCCCGTCCTCCTCCGTCATGTCTTCCTCATCCAGGATCATCGTCGTCTCGTTCTCGCTGTCAGTCACCGTCGTCGGCGTGCACCTGCTCGAGCATTTGTTCAGGGTCGAGCCGGGCGACACGTCCGTGCTCTCGCCCTCGCAAAAGCCCTCCGTGCTAAGCAACGAGGGGCTGCCCTCCGTCGTTGTTGTGACGATGGACGCGTCCGTGTTCTCGCTACTGGTCAGACTGGTCTTGGAGATATCGCTACCGGCGAAGCTGTGCGTCTTCTTCACGCTGTTGCGACCCAGCTCGTCCAGGATGCCGGACGACGCCGGGTTCAGCCGCGTGATTATCTCGCACTTCAGACTCGCGATCTCTTTGCCAATACTGCTCTCCTGCAACGTTTCTCTCTGAAAGCGACAGGCTTGAACTTAGAAAATACAGAACGTGGAGAGCGTAACATTTCACTCCAATGTCTTACATTGTTATTTTCCCTATTTTTTTTAAATATGAATTAAAAGCTGCTGGCTCGTTAAACACACTGCGCTAATTATTGGGTGATTGTCTCAAATTACTTGTAAATTGCCGAAGTCCTTCTGCAGATTCTTGTCAACGTTGGCGTTGACCTCGACACCGGCAGCCGGCGTCGTCCGATCACGCTTGTTCTTAATGTAGTTCTTTGTGTACCGCCTGAGCATCGCGATCTCCAGTTGTTGGTTCCTGATGACGTTGTCCTTCTCGCAGAGCATCTGCCTGATCGACTTCTGCTCCTGCTTAAGGCGCGCCTCCAGGAACAGCAGCGCCCGCAGTATCCTCGAGAGCTGCTGATCTCGCAGAATCCTCTCGGACTCGTGACCGGCGGTGCGGTGGTCCAGCTCCCTCACCAGCTCCCGGCATCTCTTCGTGGCGATCTTCAGGGCGTCCTGGGCCCGCGTCAGTTCCTGCTTGAGCGTTCGGACTTCGGCTTCCATCTGGAAAAACACGAATTTCAAAAATACAAGGGGTGATCCTTGCGGTACGTTCCGGTGATTAAAGAAGTAACTTCTTGAGCGATCTTGTGAAGAAAAGTTCATATACACTATTGTCATAAACGGGGATGCAGCATGATAAAAATGCATGTAAAAAAAGTTATATCATCGGGAAAATCGTGACGTCAGCTGTTGAATCGAATTTTCCAATGCTCGCCAGTCTTATGGCTCTCTGTGAGCCATTCGAAGGCGATCTCCTGCCTTCGCGAGAGTATTATTAGACGAATGACGCGTTTACAGTTTGCAGATATAGATTGAATATTACAGAATAAAACGTTCATCAGCTTAACAGACTAAAAGATCTCTTTATATAGAATCCCTTCAAGATCCTCCCCTTCTTCTAAGTTCTCTTCTCGGGGATGAACGGCTCGCGTTGCACAATGCGGCGAGATAGAAATTCACCGTGCATGCGACGCGACGTGCAGAACGATGAATGCGCCGCCGAAACGTCTGAGCGAAATCTAGGAACAATACCGGCCGGTCCCCGCCGGTCTTGCTTCGCGCGCGCACGAAACAAGAGGAGTCTCTCTCTCTCTCTCTCTCTCCTCTCTTTCCCTCCGTGGGACCGACTCGAGGAAAGAGAGACGTCCGCGTTTGCACGTCCAGATCCAGGGGGAGGGGAGAGGGGAATCCGGCTCCAGGACCGGAAGGACCTGACCCGGCCACCGAGGAACCGGTAAGTCACGGCCCGCGCGATACAACGATCGGCGACGGCGGTCTATTGTTAGGTAAACAATTTCCAACTTGACGCATGGACCGCCCAAGGATGAGCGGGTCATTTGCATTTTGGGTCGTGCGCGATGACGCGCGGCGAGTGCCATTGTTACGCGCCGCGTGGATTAATGAGATTCCTCGGCCGAGTTGAATGATGATTTAATCGAGGAGCAGAGGTAGGAGCCGAGAGTGCGCGAATGATCGAGTATCGTGAACGAGAGCGCGCGATATTTCGCATTAAACGTATTTTGCTCTCGCAAAATCTGGAGACTTTTATTCTCAAAATGGAACGCATCTCGCGAGGGGTAAACCGCCGAGGGCATTTTGCGGTGTACAGGGGGTCAATTCTGTACCTCGCAGTATAGTGAAAATGCTAAAAGTGAGCGGGTTTGTCTCTTTTTGAGGGGAGTTTATAAGAGCTTTTTGAAATTTCACCATAGTTTGGGCATTGGGCCTTGCTGAGGCATTATAAAAATAAAAAAAGGATAAAATAAGTTGCACAGTTAGAAAGAGAGGCTACGCACTTTTAGCATTTTCCGAGGGTGAAACCGCTGACCAAAATCTTCTACGCCATTGCCCACTAATGCCCGGTGGGCATTATTTTACCTTGTTAATTTATTTTATGTTTTGTCTTATTTTATTTTTATAATGCCCCAGCAAGGCCTAATGCCCAAACTGTGGCGAAATTTCAAAAAGCTCTTATCAAGTTCTTCAAAATGCCACGTTGTTCTACGATTACACAAGGGAAAATTCTCTCGGTACGGAAACAATGTTTTACCCGATGCCGCTATAAACTGTTCTTCTATTTCAAGTCACGACCGTGGGTTTTTATTTCGGGGCAAGAAACACATTTGCTTCACGAACGCTCGCGATACCGGATTTTTCAGTTCCGGATCTCCACGGGGCGGCACGTTAATTCTTCACGATATTATCTCCTCGGCGGTGGTTTACGTTCAACCGACGTGTACTTGGGACTGCAAGTAGAAAGATTGAAAAACGTTATACCGGAGACTCGCTAAATCGCTCGACTCTCTCGCGGTCGTGCCTCACTCTCGAGTCGCGGGAGAGGCTCCTCGGGGATTTACGCGCCCAGATTTCCGTTTCCGCGTGCTAGGCGAACTCGCCTCGCCAGAAAAGGTAAACCGCGAAGCGGTACGGCACTCTCCGCTAGTCGATTTAACGCCCCGTTCCCGAGCGGGCGAGAGCGATCTAACGGCGACGCCGGGCTAAAGTGCAGGCCGTGATTGCGCGTGGTTTATTCGCGGCTGGATGCGCTTATCTCGGCTCCTCTCACGGCTTTACGTTACGAGCGCGACACGTCGGCCGGGAGGGACGTAACGAAGAGCGCGTCCCTCGGGCAAGTAACTCGCCCGAGCGTTCGAGCGTCTCGCGGACCGATAAGACCGCGGTCGCGGCTAATTAAAACGCGAGATGCTAATCGCGCGCGGGGAACGAGACCGTGTCTCCGCCAATTAACCGAGCGAGCGGGCGCGGATTTTTGCCTTGGACGCTGACCAAGTCGCGTCGTGTGGGGTCCCCGATACGATCTGTCTGAAAAAAATCGTCGGGGGGTCCCCGAGGCTTCTCTCCACCGCCCCTTTCCGCCGTCCTCTCGCGACGACTTCTCTCCTTAATTTGTTACGCGATTCGCGCGAGATCTTAATTTCCACGCACGCGCACATCTTCGTAAGTTCCGCGAACTTTCGGAGTCGAATCCTTCCAGCGAGACCCCGCGGAGAAGCGAATGATCACGCGAACCTGAAATACCTATGCGCTCGCCGGAGGAGAACGCTAACGGAGCGAAGAGGAAGGCGGAGGGTCCGCGTGGACGATCCTTCCGTGAAATTCCTTCAAGAAGCTCGCGCGGACCGGCCGATTACAAGGTTACCGAGTCATCGGGACGGAGGTTTCTCAGGCCGTTGGCGCTGGTCATAAATTATACGCCCCTGGCTCCGAGAGGGAGACCAACCAGGAATCCGGCGAGACGATTTTTTTTTAATGCGCGCGCGCGCGCGCGCGAGGTAGAAGCACAACGGCGGCCTGAGCGAGAATAATTATTTTTTTCACATGAAAATCCCCCCCGCGTTTCCTCGAAAAGTGCAAATTTCGAGCAAGTTTCGCATATCGAGCGATGCAGGTTCGTCAAGTATTCGTCGAGAGACGAAGCGCAAGTTTTCGTTAATATTCTGATATCTTCATCATTAACTGTGGTTACGAAGAGATTTAATTCAGAGACCCGATCGAGAAAGTTGACGTTTCGACAGAAAACACGTCAATCTTCTTTCTGGAATTTATCGCGGCGGATTTAAGTGGAACGCGCACAACCCAAAGTGGAACATATTAGTCATGAAAACATCAAGATGACGTCATTTTTTCATCATTTTTTGTCTTTTTTTTCCACAGAGTATAAAGTGAGTTAAACCGAGATTAGTCTGCGTTGGTAGAAACGGGCGTTCGTCCGCCTCGCGTTCATTACTTTACAAATCGCGGACTCTTCGATTCTTCCTCAGCCGGGAGTCCAATCTCGGGATCTATTTATAAGATCGTGTCTCCCGAGAACCGTCAACGTCGGTCAATAATCCCCCGCGACGGCACGGAAATAGTGTGTCGGCTGTGCGACAATGACCGTGACAAGTCACGCTGGGGCGCGCGAGCGCCTCGGAGACGCCACAGGGGCAGGAAGCGCGCGAAGGATGTTGCCGCGGCACGTCTCTCCGGCGGGGAAGACAACTTCTTCTTCTTATCTATGTGGCACCTGTCTTCTTTAGAAGAACAACACGGCCAGAAACAAATTCGGAAAGCGGGAATGCACTTGAATCAATATTAGGAGAACGATTATGGTAATTTCTCCCTTCCGAGTCGGTCTCACTCTATGGCCGGTATTCATAGTCGGTTCTTATCTCAAAATCATCTCAAGTGTTGCCTTAAGACGCTAATATGGCTCTGTGATTGGTTAAAAACACATTAAAGGACCGTCTACATTGGAAGGAAGCAGTAAGAAGTAAGAAAACCTTTACCTTTCAGTGTAAAAGCTAAAGTACAGGCGTAATTTAAAAAAAATTTGTAGCCCTGGTCGAACTGCGCTCTAATTCGCCGAGAGTAAGCGTCAGAGCTGAAGTAGGAGTAAGAGATGGAAATGGTTCATTTTTTTACTCCTACTCTTACTTCGTACGCCGAGCTCCCCAAGGAGAACAAAAAGTCAGGACGGTGTCAATTTGATGCCATATTGACCAAAATTTGACATAAATTTGGTCAATATGACATCATTCTGACTTTTTCTTCTCCTTGGGTCACTTCATCCATCGTAGACGATCCTTAAAAGTATACTGAAGATGATCTTAAATATAAGAACGGCCTAAGTGGCAATCACGCTTCCCCGACCGACCTGCTCGACCGAGCTCTTTTCCAGATCGCGGAGAAGACAAGTGTGACACAATACGAGCGGGGCCGTGTTTTCGTCTTTCAATGTCGCGCGAGTGAGAGAGGCGGGCAACCTTGTCCCGCGGGCTCGTCCTCCGCTCACGAAGGAACGCGCGAGTTCACGAACCCCCGAGCGTGCGCGCACGTGCCGAAAAGTGTGCTGCGCGACTTTCTCCGTTGGCCGGCCAACGGTTTTTCGGTCCACGGTTGGTAGGCGCGCTGATTGGAGGTCAAGCGAGTCGGAGCTCTCGGGACGGATCGGGGGTCGGTACAGTTATCCGCCTTTGTGTTCGAATCGCGGCGAGATCGAGGCGAGATCTCGACCGCCGAGATCTCGATGCCTCCCTCGGAGTCGCCGCGAGTCGAGCCCTCGAGATCGATAAACGCGTCGCGCGCGCGCGCACGATGAACCGGCGGCGAAGCGGTAAACTGGAATCCCGATGCTGCCGTGGGATATCAGCGCGACGCATCGCCCTGATGAACCGCGACGCGAGCGGCTCGCCGATGACGTCACGGCCTGCTCGTCGGTGTCGCGCCGCGCGCGCTCCGGCCGATGAATGGAGAACGCACTTTCTCTCCGGCGCGGGCGCGTTACGTACCGCCGACTGCATTTGTTGCGCCGCGCCGCTGCAACAGCTGCGGACGACGGAACGCGCACGCATTGTTTTGCTCGCGAAGCCAACCGGCACCATATGCGTCCGCCCTCCCGCTCTCTCGATGTACATGCGTGCGTGCGTGCGTGCGGAACGTACAAAGACGGGCCAGGTGTCGGCCCGTCGAGTGACTTCCCGTCGACGGGCGCGCCGACA